TGGAAAATTAGGGTTCTTGGTTGAACATTCTGTCCGAAATTTTAGGTCATAGATAGAGGCCGAATTGGACTTTTCTCAAAACATGAAAGTTGTAGGTATTGATGAGTTTGAAGTGCCTACAAAATTTCAGGGCATTTGGAGTAGTTTAGAGTGAGTTATGCCGTTTTTACTGTTGCTGTTCTGGGTGAACAGAATGTACGAACTGCGATAGTAATTGTCTATTTTGACTGGCATTGGTTTGGATTTTGAAGTTGGTGTCTTCTGATGAAATGTATCTGGATGTCTTAGCTAGCTTATGCCTTTGGAATTTCGGCATTTGGACTTGTATAGACTGAGTTGTGTTCATTACAGTTTTGTGTGTTTTGCAAACCTGTTTTGGTAATTCTGGTTTAGTATTTGGCACATTTGACCTAGTTGTGCTAGGATTTGGACTGATAGGCCTTCTACATTTTTGTATCCCTGTCTTTTAGCTTCGAGATGGTGGGTCTTACGCCCTCATCCGATAAGCGTAGCGCATTTTGTGCCATTACCGCATACGGAGGCCAAACCTGTTTTTGTTGATTGATCAAATGAGTTATATTTTCTGATTTTCTGGTTTTCTATTATGCTTATATATGTATATGAAACCCTATTGGGGTTGTGATTGGCATGGCTTTATGATTCGTTATCGAGTCTCATTGTACTTGTTTGCATGTTTTAAGGCTTACTCTTATTCCGGTCATTTCCTAGCTAACTTTTGTACTTGTATTGCTTTGAGCCTAGTGAACGGCTTTTGGGAAATGAGATGACTTTTGTGTGAGGTTTTGGGACTGATTTGAGGAAATCATGAAGCCTTAATGGCTGGAAAAGTAAGAAATTTGGGGGAAATGCTGTCCGATTTTCTAGGCCGTTTGGTTCTTTAAGTTGATTTGCCTTTTGATGGAAATGAAGGGCTTTTGGGTTGTTGACCCTAGGTCTTCATGTTATCTTTTGTTTCCAAGAAAATCATGTTTTTGCACCCTTGCATTAGTATTTTTGGGCAAGGCGTACGACGTGTAGTCGAGCCTCACTTGTGCATTCCGTTTACTCGATTTTGGATATGAAACCTTCAATTGGTTTATTTTGATTATTTTAGGGTTTCTTGGCGATTAAGGCCAATCGGAAGTAAAAAATTTTGAAGTTGAGCCGGTGAGTGTACCACTCCCCTCCATTGCTATTTAACTTGATTTCTGCTCTGCAATCTGTTTATTTGTTCGAGACGAGGGTGTACTTTATCACACTCGTTCTCTAGTCTGTTCATATGCCAATTTACTATGCAAAATTTGAATCTGTTATCTGTGTCTGCATCTGTTCGGATTTCTATGACCTATGAGCTCAATCCTGTGGCTAAGTTATTCGAGTCTGGCCGGCAAGGACCTGGACGATTAGATAACGAACCACGGTAGTCTGTTCGGGGATTTTGGGTATTGAGACCCTTGATTCCGGGTATACTCGAGTATTACCATTTTGTTCGTTTGAGGTGAGCGGGCCCGGTAAAGGGGTGTTTGGTGGACGGAATTCGGTGATAAGAGGGGTCTACGGACGCATTGGTTCTATATACGTTGACGGAGAGTCAACCGGTTTGGATCAAGTATTGCGCTGGAAATTTGGCTCCTGAGAGCCACCCGTATCCTTCTGATTTGAATCATTGGTTCCTTTGCTTTACATCTGACATGTGTATCTGATTTGTTAAATGTGAAATGCCATGATTTTAATGCTATCTGTTTGGTACCTCATTGAGCGCAAGCTCACCCCTTTCCGTTCCTTTTGTTTTCCTTACAGAAAAATAAACCCTTTTGGTCTGGATTTGACAAATGGCTGCCAAATTGAGCTAGTTGAACATATCTTTTGTATAGCTCATGTATTAAAACCCTAAGTGTACTTTTGGGGCGTTTTCTCTTTTGATTTGGCAAACCGTGTGTATATATTAACTTTTGAAAACTTTTGTATGTCATTTTGATTTGTAAACGCTAAAGTTCAGATGTGAATGTTTGTTTGCTATTTCGGTTGGGTTCTGACGGGTCGGTCACTATTCATGGCCGACTTCGGATTTCATTTTTTTAAATTTTGGGTTATTTTACCATTTTGACTCGTTTACGCTCGTTCGTAAGTTTCGGATCGCTATAGATAGTTCTAGTCTGCATCGTGAGTCCTGGCGAGAGCTGGGCAGGCAGTCCGCTCACCCCTTTGGTTCGCCTTAGGGGAAAGTGGGGCTGTTACAATTAAGTTATATTATTTTACAAAGTGCTAAGATATTTGTATTGGAGAGACAAAAAGATAAGTTTTAAACCTAAAGGTGACAAGTGTCACCATAAGATTTAGTCTTCAGTTTGACTACTATTCATAACTTTACCATTTAATTCAAATTGGCCAAAAATCTCTTCATTTTGCAAGCTTCTTGGCCGAATTCTCTTGCTCAAAAAAGGGAAGAAAAGCTCTCAATTTTCTAGTCTCCAATCTTGCCCAATCTTTCAATTAAACCGATTAATCTTCCAATTACTCCATAAAACCTCTTAGTTTGGTGGAGTTGAGCTTGGTTGTGAAGTTGTTTGGAAAGCTAAGGTGACTAGTTGCTCTATCTCTTGTATTGCTAAGGTGAGTTGTGAAGGACCCCTCTCCTTCCTCTAATGATGTTCAATTCATGATTGGTGGTGGTATAAGATGCACTTTTATGGATTATATCTTGATTTTTGGTTGAATTGGTGAAATTTTATAATTATTGGGAATTTTTCTGTTTTAATATGAGCATGATTGTGTGGCTATCTATGATGATTGGAAATGGTATATAATGATTCTAGAAGGTGGAAAAAGTGGATAATTGCAAACAATTTCTGTTTTGGAAGAAATTTTGGAAAGTTAGGGTTTATGATTGTGCATTCTGCCCGAATTTATAGCTCATAGATAGAGGCTGAATTGGCCGTGGCTTAAAACATGAAAGTTGTAGCTAATGATATTTTAGAGGAGCCTACAAAATTTCAGGTCAATTGGAGTAGTGTAGAATGAGAAAAGTCGAAATTACTATTGCTGTTCTGGTTTTACCCGAATGTAAGAATTGCGCCTGTAATTGGTTGTTGTGGCTGGAATTTCTTCGGAATTGGTTGTTGAGGTCTTCTGATGAAATTTATCCCTGTTTCTTATCTTTCAGCTGGTTTTGGAATTTCTGGATTTGGACTTGGATAGCCTGATTTATGATGTTTCCGCTAGAATGCGTTCTGTGAATCTGTTTTTGTGATTCTGGTATGGTATCTTGCATTTTTGACCTGGTTACACTCGAAACTGGGTTGGGTGACCTTCTGAAATATTGTAGCCCTATCTCTTAGCTTCGAAACATTGGGTCTTGAACCTTCATCCGACAATCGTAGCGCGTTTGGTGCCATTACCGCAAAATGACGTCAAAACTGTTTTTCGGGTTTTGAGCTTAACTTTCATTTCCGGACTTTTCCCTAGCTTGAATTGTACTAGTACTACTTGGAGCTTGCTGAATGGCTATTGGATGAACTTGTTGTTGTGTGTGTACCTTTGGGATGGAATGAGGAAATAATGAAGCCATGATGGCTGGAAAAGTTAGCAAATTCAGGGGAAGTGCTATCCGAACTTTGAAGGGATTTGTTTGCATTGAGTTTGTGATCTAAGACTTGGATTTGAGCAAGGCAATGTTATATGATGGATGATTTCTGAGCCGTGGAGGTGAGTGACCCTAAACTATTTCCAAAGTACTTGTGAAACGTTTCTTGCATTATTTACTTTCGAGCTGTTTCCAAAGTTACTTTTGAACTGTTTTCTTGCATATCATGCGTGCTTATATGAGAGTGTTCCTTGTTTGATATTTCCTTGACTTATTGGCTTGTTATTATAGATTGATAATGTGTTAAGTGCTTTCAATGATTGTTAAAACGAGTTTTCTGGACGAGTGTGTACTTTATCGCACTCGACCTAAATAAATGTGAAATTTTCATGCTTAATGATAAAATGCTACTTGCGCATGAATGTAAGCCTTTTGGGCTGAACTGGCCATTGCCCCTTGTTACCGGTCGTCTCGAGCCAGAAGCGGACTCGGTCGGGCGATTAGGGACTTGGGTGAACGTTTGGTATACTCGAGTATTACCTTTGTAGGTTGGTCGAGATTGGTGGAGCCTGGACGATGTCCGGGAAAGGTTGAATGAGAAAAATGCAATTTCAAATGAAAAAAAAAAAGGAAATGGCAGGAGAACGAACGTATCCTTTTCATGAATGTTACTATCGCTTTCCATTGTACATGTTTCTTGAATTATTGATACTCCGTATTTAATGTTTTGTAAATGTTGTAATTGTTTCTGGACTTATCATTTGATTTATGACATCATTGAAATGAACTATTGTTAAACCGATTTGATTACTGATTTTACCGGTTACTCGCTGAGCTTCTAGCTCACCCCAAAAATATTTTATTCCCCTCCACAGGGCTCAAGGCGAAGGAAGGCTTGTAGTACTTATTCCTGTGATCGGATGAATTATCTCATGTGTACTTTGAATTTGGACTTCCTTTTGTATAATAGTTGGATCATGGATCAGAGTGGCGCAGTGGAAGCATGGACGCTTCGCTTTTGATATGTAATTATTTTTTGGAGAATTTGATGTATATTGGAGATTTATATTGTAATATTTGAGGTTTATTCTTGTAATTTATTTGAGGACTTTAGTGAACGACTGAGTCCCGGCGAGAGCTGGGCAGGCGGCCCGCCGAACCCTCTGGTTCGCCTTAGGGGGAGGTGGGGCTGTCACACTTAACACCCCTCACACCTGCACAAGTGTATGAGAACCAAGTTAAATTGCAAAGAGAATGTGACTTAGACCGTCAAAAGAGATAACTCAAAGGAACCGATTCTGGAGATTGCTCCAAATCGACTCTTGAGCATTCGTCCAAGAGCACCAATGTTGGCTCTAGTATTACAAATGATCAAGCATTGATTAAGTCAAACACTAGGAAACAAAACATGATAATCATGGGTAAGGATGTCAGGAAAATTGTGTATTCTGATCAGCCTGTGTTACTTATGATTTGCAAACACGTGCTCTTGAATGTTGATGAACTCGATAAGGCCTTGCCTTCGAGTGTAGTTGCTTTGTTGCAGGAATTTGAGGACGTGTTCTCTGACGAGATCCCTGATGGATTACTACCCATTCGAGAGATTGAGCACCAAATCGACCTCATTCCTGGAGCACCATTACCCAACAAACCAGCCTACCAAATGGGCCCGGAGGAAACTAAGGAACTCCAAAGGCAAGTTCATGGCCTACTAGGTAAGGGTTAGGTTAAGGAGAGTTTGCGTCTATGTGCCGTTCCTATTATACTTGTTCCAAAAAAAAATGGTACTTGGCGTATGTGTACTGATTGTAGAGTCGTAAATACTATAACTGTTAAATACCGTCACCCCATTCCTAGATTAGATGATATGCTAGATGAACTTGATGGTGCTGTTATCTTCACTAAAATTGACTTATGAAATAGCCATCATCAAATTAGGATGAAAGAGGAAGATGAGTGGAAAACGGCTTTCAAAACAAAACATGGCCTTTATGAGTGGTTAGTCATGTCTTTTGGGTTGATTAATGCACCTAGCACCTTCATGAGATTAATGAACCATGTTTTAAGGCAATTTATAGGCAAATTTGTCATTGTTTACTTTGATGATATTTTGATCTATAGTCGAAACATGCATGAACACATGGAGCATCTAAAATTGGTATTGGACACACTTTGAAAGGCGAGCCGCTATGCTAATCTTAAGAAGTGCACTTTTTATACTAATGAACTTATGTTTCTAGACTATGTTGTGAGTTCACAGGGCATCAAAGTAGACGAATCCAAGATCGAAGCCATCAAACAATGGCCAACACCAAAGATAGTTGCGGATGTGCGAAGCTTCCATGGTTTGGCTGGCTTCTACCGGCGTTTCGTCAAGGACTTCAGTACCATTGCTATGCCATTGACTGCAGTGGCAAAGAAAAATGACAAATTCCATTGGGGAGAAGCACAAGAAAAATCTTTCCTTACTCTTAAGGACAAACTCACACACGCGCCTGTCTTAGAATTACCTAATTTTAATAAAACTTTTGAAATCGAATGTGATGCTTCTGGTGTAGGAATTAGAGTTGTGTTACTGCAAGTTAAGAGATCTTGTGCATTCTTTAGCGAGAAACTGGGAGGTGCGGCACTGAATTACCCCACATATGACAAGGAGTTGTATGCACTTGTGAGAGCCATGGAAACATGGCAACATTACCTCCGTCCACGAGAATTCGTGATACACACTGACCACGAATCGTTGAAATTTCTCAAGGGGCAGACGAAATTGAGCAAAAGGCATGCCAAGTGGGTAAGTTTCATTGACACCTTCTCCTATGTCATTAAGTATAAGACTGGTAAAACGAATGTGGTAGCTAATGTTTTATCTCGTAGACATTCCTTGCTAGTTTTTCTTGATGCTAAGTTGCTTGGTTTCGAAATGCTAAAGAGCTCTATGCACATGACAATGATTTTGGTGGGATGTTTAAATCATGCATTAAGAGCCCCCACGGAAAATATTTTTGCATGACGGATTCTTGTTTTATGTTGATAAGTTGTGTGTGTCTAATTCTTCCATTCGAGATTTGTTGGTTCGAGAGGCACATAGTGATGGTCTCATGGGACATTTTGGCATTGTTAAGACATTAGCAATGTTGCAAGAGCGCTTTTATTGGCCACACATGCGTAGGGATATTGAATGCATGGTTGGTAGATGTGCTACTTGCCATAAACCTAAATCTAACACAAATTCATATGGCTTGTATACCTCATTGCCAATTCCAAAATATCCTTGGGTGGACTTGTCCATGGACTTTGTTTTGGGACTACCTAGGTCTCAAAGGGGTAATGATTCCATCTATGTGGTAGTTGATAGATTTTCAAAGATGGCTCATTTTATCCCCTTGCCATAATACTGATGATGCATCACATACTGCTAACTTGTTTTTCAAAGAAATTGTGCGTTTACATGGTATGCCTCAAACAATTGTTAGTGGTAGAGATGTTAAGTTCTTGAGTTACTTTTGGAAGACTTTGTGCTCTAAACTTGGCACTAAATTGTTATTTTCGACCGCTAGTCATTTCCAAAGTGATGGACAAACTGAGGTTGTCAATCGCACTCTTGGAACTTTGTTAAGGGTCTTAATTAAGAAAAACCTTAAGTCTTGGGAAGAGTGTTTGCCACATGTTGAATTTGCTTATAATAGAACAGTTCACAGTGCAACACACTACTCACCTTTTGAGGTTGTTTATGGGTTTAATCCCTTAACTCCCCTCAACTTGGCACCCTTACCATCCTCTGAGCAAATAAGCTTAGATGGGAAAAAGAAAGCTGACAAGCAAGCTAACAAGCTAACAAGCATCGTCGCAAGCTAATATTGAAAGGCGTACTCAGTAATACCTCTAGCAAGCTAACAAGCATCGTCGCAAGATGGTTTTTGAACCTGGAGATTGGGTCTGGCTACACTTAAGGAAAGAGAGGTTCCCTAAGCAACGCCAAAGCAAGTTGTCACCAAGAGGCGATGGACCTTTCCGAGTGTTTCAACGTGTCAACGACAATGCCTAGAAGTTGGAGTTGCCTGAGGAGTATAATGTCAATGCGAGTTTCAATGTCGCGGATTTATGCCCGTTCCTTTAAGAGGATGAACCAGATTTAAAGACAAATCCTTTTCAAGTGGAGGGGACTGATGTGTGCATGGATGACAACCTTGAGTCAAGCCCGATTGATGATACTCAAGTGAGAGTTCCATTGGGGCCGGTTACACGTGCACGGGCAAAGCAATTCAAAGAGTCTCTTCAAACCCTTGTTCGAAGTGTTCAAGATCAACATGGGGTCCATAGGAACATTGAAGGCTTGGAAGTTGCTAATCAAGTAATCTACACATTGATCCGAGCCAATGAAGCATCAAATGCCGGTCCCGCAAGTCCTTAGTTGATTAGGCCGAGTATGGTGGTTTGTTACTTGGTCTTAGTTGTCTCGAATTTACTTGGTTTCTTTTGGTCAGTTTTATTAGTCATTTTTGTGCTAAATAAGCCGAGCCCATTTATGATTAAATGAGGCCGGCATCCGTGTCCTAGATTAGGTAGTAGTAGAGGTACATCAATCCTTGTTCCAATGGGATTTTGCATTAGTTTCTAGCCTATAAAAAGGCACCTTGTGTACGGTTCAAGGGTTAGACATTATTGACAATAAAATTTACTTTGTTTCTCTTCAAAGTCGAGAGTTACATTCTACTTGCAAGGCAAGGGTTTTTGAGCAATCTCGCGTGACGTCCTTGGTTGTTCATCCAGCCTATCTACTTGAGTAACCACCTCAATTACAGTCGCTGTTCTACCACCTTCTATCAAGTTGAGTTGTCCATCTTGATTCTAGGCTCCGCAATCCAAACGATTGATCATCCGTCTAGATCCTTGGCAATCGTGCTACGTGTCCCGGAACAAATTGGCCGAGGAGCGTATCAAGTCTGCTCTCAGGAGTAGGTTCCACAGCAGTTTGTCTAGGGTCCGTTGACACTCCGTCAACCAATTATAATGTCCGTAGACAAACACTTGTCTCCAGTCCCATTTCTACGATCATCCCCCTATATGTGACAGCCCCACCTTCCCCTAAGGCGTACCAAAGGGGTTAGCGGACTGCCTGCCCAACTCTCGCCAGGACTACTAAGACGGTAATACACAAATTCAAGTCGTTCTGGAATCTATTGGCTCGCTTAACCAAACCACAAATCCATGAAACGGAAAATGAAAATCGAAACGGAAAACAAATAGGGACTACCACGTCACAATCCGACCAAGACCCAATCGAAGACAAGTAACTCCATATAATCCTTGAAATGGATGTATACAAACCAAATATAACACATGAACATGAGTACACACGTTTACAAAACCACATTCGTATATTTACACATCAAAAGGCAATATTTGAATCCAAACACAATGAGGGTTTCCAACCATGGAGGAGCTATACAAAATCCCTAAACTAGCTCAACTCATTCTTCAAAAGCAAAAGTCCAAAAGATGGTTCCCTGTAAGAAAAACAAAATTTAACGGAGTGAGCTTTCGCCCAATGAGGTACTATCACGTAAATATACCAGGATCACATAAACACAAGAATATTCAATCCAAATAAGTTCATCAAGTGAGTAAAATCAACACCCCACAACTATAGAGAATAAAAGGATACAGACGGCTCTCAAGAGCCCTTTTCCTCTTTTGCCATGCTTGATCTCATCTCATTGACTCTCCGTCAATGTATACAGTGTAATCATAACCGTAGACTCCTCTTTACTCCAATATTCCGTCCACCACACATTCCCCTTACCGGGCCCGAACACCAAGCAGCACAGAATTGGTAATACTCGAGTATACCGGAATCAAGGGTCTCATACCCAAAGATTCCCAAATACAGTCCCCATGGCTTGTCAAATGTCCTCGACCAAGTCCTTACCGGCTCGAGTCAATTGACTTCCAATGAGGTAGAGCTCAGAGTTAACAGTAAAGGTCCAGAGTTAACAGTAAAGGTCGTCAGATACATGTCCAAACGACACCAAATCAAGTACAATCAAGAGTATTTCAAGTGATATAGTAAACAGTCAAGTAGGGCGGAGAGTATGAGAGTGGTAAAGTACACCCTCGCCTCACCTGGCCCAAACAATAATCACAACTAGTCCAATCACAGAATTCAAGTACAAGAAAGCCACGGAATAACAAACATGTGAGTAATACACTCACCAAGTCAAACAAAGCAATTTCACAAGTTTTCGCCCGACGTGAGCCTCGGATCACCGGCACGCCCTATAATAAGCAAGAAAGTACAATTAAGACTCGAACACGAGTCGAATACCTTTTTAAATGAACTATTAAGGCAAAACCCAAAGATAGCTTGGAAATGAAAAACACATAACTTCTAGGGCTAAAAGTAGAAACAAACCCCAAAACCTTTCATTTCTATCCAACCTCAACCCAAACTCACAAAATCCAATACCCTAGACATTTGGACAGCATTTCCCCTAAAATTTCAGCTTTTCCATCCTACAAACCAACAATTAAAATGCATCCAACACAACCACAAGCACCCAAACAATTCATAGGTCATTCAATACACGTCATTAGGGTCACAATACCCCTTAATCATAGCCAATTAAAGGCTCAACAACCAACCATAGAAAACCCCCAATTAGAAACCCTAAATCTGAAATTTTCCGCACAAGCAGAAATTTTCCGCAATTAACGCACAAGAGAGCTATTTAACACCATTTAGAACCATCAATTCAAGCCCAACCATATTCATCACAGGAAAACAGAAAAATTCTTACAAAAATCAGAAAATTAGCTAACTTCACTCTAATCCATAAAATCTTCCATAAAATCCACTAGTTAGCTACCATAAGGCACCAATTGGCCATTATTAGGAACAAAGAGTGAGTTCCAAGAAAAATACCTTAACTCTTCAAGAAAGGTAGTAGCTTAGGGGTTTCTTCTCCAAATCAACTCCACCAAGACCTTCAAACTCCCTTAGCAAGGCTTTTTTGTGGACTAAATCAAGGTTTAATCGGTTGGTTTTCAAGATTTGTGCAAGAATAGAAGATGAAAGGTTGAAACTTTGTTTTCTTTTCTTCCTAGAGAGGTTCGGCCAAGATGGGGATGAAATGAAGATGATTTGAGTCAATTTTGGTCTTTTAGTAAAGTTAAAGAAAGTTAGGCAAGTCAACTCAAGTAAGAAATCGACACTTGGCACTTTGTTGTTGCTTGAAGTTATTTTCTTGTCTCCCCATGGTTAATCCATTTAGGTAACCTCTAATTAACTCCTAACACCTAGGAATTAAATCCCTTTATACGTCCAATATACACTCCTAATTTCTCATGAACTAATTTATACTAGAAAAATGATTTAAAAACTATATTTACTGATAAAATATTGTTAAAAAGTAATATAATAAAGAAAATAAAAGAAAACGGGTGCACAGGAATAAAATAATGCCTAAATTTTTTTTTCTGGGTTCTCACACCCTCTCCTCCTTAAAGAATTTCACCCTCGAAATTGCTCACCTGGGTTACTAAACAGCTCAGGGTATTTCTTTTGCATCTCCTCCTCCATCTCCCAAGTTGCCTCTTCTATTCCATGGTTCCTTCACAAAACCTTTACTAATGGGATTTGTTTATTCCTCAGCTCCTTAATCCTTCGATCGAGTAATTGTACAGGTCTCTTCTCATAGGTGAGGGCTTCATCTATCTCAATCTCCTCAGGTTGCACAATGTGGGTGGATCAGGATAGTACTTTTTAAGCATCGAGACATGGAAAACGTCATGAATTTGAGATAAACTTGGCGGCAACTCGAGTCGGTACGCTACTTTCCCAACTCGTTGAAGAATCGTGTAAGGTCCTACGAACCGTGCTTGAAGTTTCTTTCCTCTACCTACAGTGACGCTTCGTAGTGGCGTGATCTTAAGAAAAACACGGTCTCCAACTTCAAACTCCAAATCTTTCCTTCGGTTATCCGCGTAGCTCTTTTGTCGGCTTTGAGCTGTTTGGAGCCTTTGACGGATCAACTTAACCTTTTCTTGTGCATCCTCCATCCAGGGAATGGTTGTTGGATCTAGAACCTTCTTTTCCCCTACTTCGTCCCAATAAATGGGTGAACGACACTTCCGTCCGTAGAGAGCTTCATACGATGCCATTTGAATGGACGAATGGTAACTGTTATTATAGGCGAACTCTACTAAAGTCATATGCTGGCCCCAATTACCCCCAAAATCCAGAATACAAGTCCGTAACATATCCTCGGGGGTTTGAATTTTTCGCTCCGACTGTCCATCCGTTTGGGGGTGATAAGTGGTACTAAGGTTGCGTTTGGTCCCCAAGTTCTCCTGGAACTTTTGCCAAAACCTCGATACAAAACGAGGATCTCGGTCCGAAACTATACTCACTGGGACCCCATGTAACCTCACAATTTCATCCATGTACAATTGAGCCAATTTATCCATGGAATACTTCATATTCACAGGTAAGAAATGAGCCGATTTGGTTAACCGATCAATGTGAGGCCTCAGTCCGTTCGTAAGCTGATATGAGGGTTATTCGTTAATCGGTGGGGTGGTTTCGGGTTTTTATCGCCCGCCTTTTCTACATTTTTCTTTATTGGAAATTTTCCCAGATAATTTTTCTGAGTAAATATAGGTTTTAGATGAGTTTTCAAGTATCGGTTAGGTTTTGAGAAATTAAGAACGTATATCGGACGTGGGACCCACGAGTGCGAAAAGTTCGGAAAAATTCGGCCAATAAGGTTAAGTTTCGGATACTGTGTAAAATTTATCGGGTGTTAAGAGATAAGTAGAGGTTGTGATGTGATTGTTGAGAGAGAGAATAAAAGGAT